CATGACTTCTTCTCAGCTTCCTCCTTCTCAGTGCTGCATTTTCTGGCCCTGGGGATGGTAAAGCTGAACTGGATGCTGCCACATTCCCCTTCTGTCTTGCACTTAATGTGCAGTCATAAATAAGAGCTCTTCGATGATCTTTGTATGTCCTTTTAGTCTATCTCATCCCACCCTATCCTACCCCATCCCATCCTACCTTACCCCATCCCTTCTCCTACCCTACCCTACCCTACCCTGCCCCATCCCATCTCATCCTATCCTCCTCTGTTCTGCATTTATTTTAACAGTCCTATGACCCTGCAAAATGAGCAAGAACACAACTGTGGAAGAGAAGCGAAAGAGGTAACACCAAGTGCAGTGCAAGTCCCCAGCCCCACGGCTGGAACCAACCCTGCAGTGTGGTTTGGAAGGTGAAAGAGCTGCTCATCATTCATCTTTTCTCCCCATGAATCATTTTCAGCAGCTGACGGCAATCCCTGGGAGAAATAAGTGTGTACAATTGTTTGCAAAGAGCTCAGATTGGTACAAAGGGGGTTGGATTGTGCCAGAGCATCTCTCTGCAGAGGTTAAAGGTTGATCCTGAAGCAATGTGATGTTTTACCAGGATATCCTGTGAGGATGTCCTCCTTCTGAGGCTAGGGCGCACGTCCAGCCTGCTCCCATCCACTTCAGCCCCATTTCTGGAGCTGCCTGTATGGACTAGCTGCTCACTGAACTCCCCCTCATAGCCCCACTGAGCCCTTCCCTGCTGCTCAGCACTCCAGCAGGAGACGCAGCACGTGCATTCTGCACTTTGCACGTTTGTATTTTTAAAAGCAGAAGACACAAAGGAACTCCTTAATATCTGTGTGAGGCTTTATCTGAGTCTCCCGCGGAAGGTCTGCTCTGCATTCAGACTGGTATCCTGTGGGCAGGAGGCCAAGGGCAGATCACTCACACCTCTGTGAGTGCTCGACACAGGGACATGTCTGACAGGATGCACCTGAAGGATGTCTGACAAACAGCGCTTGGAGGAGCTGCTCTCCTTTGCACAAAGCCCCAGGCAGGGACTCACCAGGCTGGCAGTTTGTGGCACTGGGGCTGGGCTGGTCCCCACGGCACATGGGTCTCTATGAGAGCAGTGGTAGGAAGATTGGAGTTGGTAATTGCCAACCTATTCAGATTAAGCTCTTGTGTAAAGCACAAACCAGGTATTTTTTAGTGGAAATGCACAAGCTGTGTGCCCAGGTACTCACAGAATCCTGCAGCTGGCAATGGGAACCTGCAGGAAGGCAAGAAACCCCATGGACTGTAACCCCACTCCTGTTTCTGTCCAATAGAGGAGGATCCTTCCCCACGCAGGAGAGGAACCTCTCAGCTCTGACATCAGTCAGCATGAGGAACCATTTGCTGGCCTTTCAAAAGACATATTTCTTTTGCTAATGGCACCAGCACAGGAGACAGTCGAGGAGGAACAATGTGAAGTGATGCTTCCTATGGACAAAATAATAAACACATTGTATGGCAATGGGAAATGGAGTGAATTGCAGGAAGTGGGGCTGGCACATCTGCAGCTCCATATCCCCTCCATGGGGGCAGCTGGGTCTGCTGGGGGCCTGCTCTGCTGCTGAGTGTTTGGCTTGGACTAAAACCTTGGGAGTTCTTGTATGGAATTGCAGAGGACAGGCTGTTGGTCTCTGATGTGCAACAGATCAGACAAGCTGGTTAAGTGGGATCTGGGGGAGCTCAGAGGTGAGCAAGGCAGGGGGATGGGGTGACAGCAGGAGATGAGGTGCTGGGGATGCCCTCATGGGGATGGGAATATTATCCCTTCTGAAGGTCCATCCCACACCTTTCCGTAGACTGGAGAGGAATCTTAAAGAACAAGAAAAGTCAGCAGCCACCAATGCACTTGATAATGACCTCTGATCCACGTGAAGGAGGAACTGTCCCCATTCTGTCCTGCAGGTGCAAGGGACCACTAGGAAACTCAGCTTACACTTGCAAAAATGCGTTTATTTCTGAAGCATCAGTTTTTGGAAAGTACAACATAGGATGAGCTACACACTTGCCACAACACTGACTTCAACTTGTTCTCACCTGATAAACAGAGAATTGTAAACACAGCCAACAGCTCCCAGTTCTTACTACAAAGCTACAGAAGCTGCAGTAACACAATGTGAATGCTACTCTGTCTGGGTGAGCATCTTTTGGCATCCTCACTTATCTGCTTGTAAGATTAAGTTCGTAATACTGTCGTTCATAAAGAGAGAACTATGGCAGCTAATTAGGCTCAATCAACAGCTGGTCACTGCTTTTGAGAAGAGCACCAGTGTAATGGTTTTCCAAACCTGGATGTTAAATTGCCCCCACTTTGTTGTAAAATAGTCAAGTAAAAAACTGTAATATGCAGGAAAATGTTGGGTAAGAGAAAAAGTAATTAAGAGGAATTGTGTGGTTGAAGCATACCCAGCAAGTGTTTCTGGTATTTTATCTGCTTTGTAGCAACATGTGAGATGGTGCCACTGAATGCATTTGTTTTGGAAAGACACGGGTTTCAGAGGGAGTAAATCAGTGTTTCTGATCAGCAAAAGAGTCCTCAGTTATCACGGGGAAACGGTTGTTACACACAGGGGCAGAATTTGGCCTAGAGTTTGTCACATCTTAGAGAAACCAGCGAGGGAAGGACACCTTTCTTCTCTAGTGCATGTGCCCCTGAACCCCTAAGGAAGGACCTCACGGTGTGGTCTCAGCACTAGGCTGAAGGAGCCGTGCACATAATGGGGATGAGGACCTGTGTGGTGCCATTGGGGTCACCCAACCTGGCAGCACTGATGCTGGGCCCCCACTGCTGGCAGTGGTGTTTATTGGAGTGTGAAGGGGACATGGAGAGAGGAAAGGTCCTGCTGTGCAGAATGCGAGCAACCTCACAGCGCTGGCTGCAGCGTAAGGCACAGGATGCATCCACAGGTAAGGAGCATACATGGAGCAGGGTGAGAAGAAGGAGGTGATGAAAAGAGCAGAAAGAAATGAAGCAGTGGTAAGTGTGATGACCAGAGCAATGCTCTGAGAGCTGGGGCAGGCAGCAGCAAGGTGGGGCTCTGTGCTGGAGCAAGCTCACACATCTGTGTCCCTGAGCAAGGACAGCAAAACTGCTGCTGGCTATTCCTGGCCACTTCGCATGCAGTGTGCAGAGAAAGCACTTCAGCAGATTCCAGTGTATGGATGAATAATCATCTTTGGCTTGAACAAAGAACCTCTGGAGTTGGAGAAATGGAAAGAGGAGTTCCTAGGATGTTTGCACCATTTCCCATCAAAGGCTTTGGGGATTTTCCACTCTGGCTGGGTCAGGAGTGGGCATCACAGCAGTAGGTGCAGTCAGTGTCTGTGTGTCACTCCAACACATTAATCATAAAGTTTTATCTTATGTGTATCGAAAGATTTCCACTGCTACAAATCTCCCCTGAACAATTCGAGGGGTCTTCTGTAATGGAGTTGGTAGTCGAACAATCCTGGATTTCAGATGAAATATCTTAACTCTCTTCAGCTGGCTTTATTTCATTCCTTAACTGACGATGCACTCTCTTTGCTCATGAGCCGACTCCTGATGGCCATGCTGCTGTGCCTGGAGATCTGGTCCTGAAACTCTGAGGTCATAAAGAAATAGAGGATCGGATCCAAGCAGCAGTCCAGACTTGCCAGAGTTAAGCAGAAGGGCTGGGTGTGCAGCGTGATCCTGCGCAGGAGGCAATCTGTAATAACGTTCTCTTTCACCATCATGTAGAAGAAGAAATTGATGTGATACGGTGCAAAACACACAAAGAACACGATGGCACAGGTGGATACCATCCTCGAAGCTTTCCGCCCCTCGCTGTTGTTCTGCAGCGGTATCCGGAAGCCCCGAAGGGAGACCTTTGTTTTCCAGGTACAGAACACGATGACGATGAGGGGCCCAATGAAGCCGAAGAGCTCCGCGGTGGCCGTCATCGCCACGGTGCCCACTTTGCTCTCGATCTGCCGCACCTCCAGGTCTGCAAAGCAGGTTTTGGAGTTGTTCTGCAGGCGGAAGCTGCGCATGATGGGGAACGGGGAGCAGGCGGCGCCCACAAAGAGCCAGACGGCCGCGCTGATGGCGATGTCGTAGCGGCGCTTCCAGTCCTTGGCCTTGAAGGGGTGCAGGAGGAAGAGGTACCGCTGGATGCTGATGCAGGTGAGGAAGCAGATGCTGGCGTACATGTTGAGGTACTTCAGGTAGAAGCACAGCAGGCAGAGGAATCTCCCAAAAGGCCACGTGCGGTTCATGTAATAGTAAATCCGCAGCGGCAGCGACAGGACGTGCGCCAGGTCGGCCGCGGCCAGGTTGATCATGAAGATGATGGCTTTGTTCTTCTTGCTGATGAAGCGGCACAGCACCCAGAGGGCAGCGCTGTTGGCCAGCAGGCCGGGGATGAAGATGATGGTGTAGGTGGCTGCGTACAGTGTGGATTTGTACGTTACGTTGGGATCGGAGCAGGTCCAGTTGCTGTGCGTCATGATGGGACTGCTGGGAGCATTTGGCACAGGAGGGGGAGTGCAGGTCATTCCTGGGGAGAGCAAAAGCAGTGGTTGTAAAGGCAAAGGCACTGCGAGAGTTGTCTGTATTCACATTTCCTATCTGACAACACTGAGGCTCAGAAGGTCCCCTGTGTAGAATATGCTGCTACCCTCTTCAAATCTGCTCCCTCCTGTTATTACTGCAGAGGAGATAGGACTGCCTCCGCAGCATCAGTCCCCTTGCTGTGCTTTCCAGTTTCCATAAGCATAGGAGAAACTATGCCACACTGCTCATGGAGCAGAAGGAGCTTCTCATCCCGGCAGCTCTGACCCATCTGTGACAGGGGGAATACACAGGAGGAAGGTGTGTGTATGGGAACTGTTGAGTCCTGATCTGAACCACTGAGCACCTGGGGAAAAGACCTGGTCAGCCCTGAGAGCACAGGTGAAAGCAATTCACCTGTGCAACCAGAAGGGGTGGAGCCTGGCTGCACCTCTCTTAGCCCTCATTTAAGGGCTGAATGTCATGGGGGAAGGGTCTCTGGTTGGAGATCCCTCTTGTCTGGAGTTTTCCCTGTGAGCCTAAGTTTTCAGAGATGGGTGAGCACTTTTTCTTTGTAGCATCTTTCTATTGCACTGGTTTCCTTGTGGTTGCATCTCCTATAACACCATTCCATTGCCTTCACCTTTCTGATTGTTATAGTGTGCCATAGCCTGACTTCTACAAGCAAGCAAGCAACCACATAGTCCAGTGACCAAAACATGGATGCCAACAACTGGATTATACCTATGGTTAAGTTACAGGAGCTTGGTTTTATGGGGTATTTCCCCACAGGGTTCTAATTCTTAGTATAGTGATTCCCTTCCGTGTCTAAAGCTACAGTTAACACTGAATGTTGGCTTCCTGTTTCACAGGGCACTGCAGATACTGCTCCCCTGGTTCTGACTCATTTCCTGACAGCAAAACTTGCATGGGGCATTTGCCAGAGAAAGAAGTGTCTCTGTAGGTAGATACTAGTAACTCATCCCCTGGTACTAAGGGTTCTTTTCTTTGTGCTGCAAACAAAAATAGATTAGAGCTCTCAAGTGACAAAGAGCACGATTGGTGTTGGTTTTCTTCACTTTGCTAATTGGGGCTGCAGGTGGCCCCAGCCCTGGGCCACTAAGTGTCTGCACCTACAGGCTTTATTAACAGGAGCTGCAGACAACTCTGCTTCTCTTTTTAACTTCTATTTCATTTTCTTATGGCTTGCAAAAGGCAGGGTTATCTCCTGCCAAGTGCTTGGGTTTAGCAACTGAACTACATCCTTCAGCTGCACCTAAAAGCGAAGAAATGCTGTAGCTGGGAGGGCACTGCCCAACTCCTCCTTCACTGGGACAGCACGATAACACTGAGGTGTCCCAGGCTGGGTCCATCTGCAGCCCCAGCTGGATACGTGCTGCTCCCTCGTCACCCTCCAGGTGAGCTCCCACTTTGCCAAGAAGCCATTGAGCATCACTGTCAGAGTTATAAGCTGCCTGCATGCTAAGGTCAGCCTGACTGCCCCATGCTCTGACAAAACACAACGCCACGTGGCCACTGACACCACAGAGGATTGGGTGCATTTGCAAAATGTTCCATTTTGAGAACATGCTGCTATTCAAATGCTGCCCAACGGACCTGGGATATTCAGAGGGGCTGAGGTCAGATGAGTCACAGCAATCAGTTTGCATGTCGGGGTTCCAAGGTGCAGTTAGACTTATTTACATTTCATGTGACAGCTCAGAACCAGGCCGCAACAGCAACGTTCAGAGTAATCAGGCTCAGGCTGCTGACTCAAAGTAGCCACCAAACAGAGATATTTAGGGTAAATGTGCATGTCCGGGATGTATATCTGCTGCAACATGAGATGATGCATCTCACATCTCAGCCTTTGTGCTCTGATAGCAGCAAGCTGTGTCCAGACACCAGATGGGCACCAGTGGGCTGCAGCAGCCTGAGCCCATGATGGAGCCCCTTACATGGAGAGATCCCCTGGGCTTTGTCCTCATCTGATAATTGTCCACAAGGTGTCAGAGTTAATCAAAACTTCTCTTCTTTGCCCAGTTGAAGGCAGTTTTCTAAACCCATAGGGCAGATGGAGGGGCAGAGGTGATGGTGTGGCCACATCCTCATGACTTTGTGTTGCTATCTTCCAGGATGATCCCAAAAAGAGGAATGCTGACATTAGGGGAAAAAATGCTCTGTGAATTGATACTCCTGTCCTTGGTGTTTACGTGGAGACAGCGGAGGTCAGGAGCTTCAGCCACAGGCTGCAGAACCCCGTCCGTGAAGGGGCAGATGTCCCAGCTCCATTACCTGAGCAAATGTAAGGATGTGACTGGTGGGCAGGGAGCGCATGGGGCAGCACTGGGGCCACGGGGTGAGGGACTCGACTGGCCTCAGGGCTGAGCATGTCCGAGAACATGGACTGAGTGGGGTGACCCTGTTGGGTGCAGCAGCATTAATGCCATCAATGTGCATATGGGGGATTGTTGCTCCTTGGCACGTGGTGGGCGCTGAGAATGAAATTTGCTACAAAGTCATTAACATTCCTTCGACCAAATTGTACAGGAGGCAATTTAGCAGTGGCTGTGAGTGATTAACCTGATCTCAAGGCTCTTGGGAAAGGAAAGGAACTTTGCTGCTCCCTAACTCAAATGCAGCCCTCTTTTCCTTGACGTGGAAACCTGTCCTTAGGCTTTGCCAGGAGGCACATCAAGTAAGAGTGGACTTTCTATGACAATTCCTGTGGGATCTGCTCTGCAAAGCCTGTGTTTCTGAGGCTGTTACAACAAGGAAAGAATGAAGCATGCATATAATTTTTTGTAGCGGGACAATTTGGAAGCACAACATGGCATTTACAGCTGCACTGCCCCCTTCCTCCCACTTGCTCAGACTGAGGGTAACTCCTTCCATCCCTCTCACCTTCCTCTCTGAGGACAAACACAACACACACAGATGCCCCTGGCTGTCTGCAATCGGGCTTCCTATCTGCAAAGCTGTTCAGACAGCATTTGCTGTGTGAAGTATCAGCAAAGGCTGAAGTCCTTAAGCTGATTTTATCAGCACTTGTCTCCATGTGTCACATCAGAAAGTGTTTTTTGTTGGTCCCTCACACCACACTGAGGGAAGATAGCTTCTACTATGCAGTTTAAAAATAAAAGAAAACAGAAAATTGGTAGTAGATCTATGCAGTGTTATCCGAGTCCTGCTTTGTATGCTTCACTCAGAGTCTGTATTTCTGAGGCTGTTGCAATAGGGAAAGAATGAAGCATGCACACAATTACTCGTAGCAGGATAATTTGGAAACACAACATGGCACTTCCAGGAAAAAAGAGGTTCATCTCCATGCAGCACGGCGTCCTGCTGGCTGGCTGCCTGCAGCAGGTCGATCTGATCACAGCACACATTCTTCTGCCTTCATTTCAGGGCTGAGTATCTCACACTTTCGCACTCACGCTTCAGTCTGAAACCTCTGCACTCAAGTGGAAAATCCTACAGTTACAGGTACTTTTTTTTTTTTTTTTTTTTTTTCTTTTTCAACAAAGAAAATTGGAGCGGATCTGGGCTGTGAAGATTTCGGTTTGCATTCTGCTCTCATTCCTACTCCCACAGCTGGCTTGGGCAGCACAGCCCCATGGTGCAGTGCCATTCCCAGTGCTGGAGGTGTGGGCATATCAGTGGTCCCACCGCTCACACCAAGGCTGAGCTGGGAGCTGGAACCCTGCCTGGAGCAGCTCTCTCCTGCACCACCTGCTGCCCCAGTGCTGCTGTCCTCCCTGACACAGGTGTGCGGTAAGCCCAGTTTGACACTGACTCACACTCCATGCTTTGATTTGCTTTTCCCTTTTGATTTGCTTTAAGAAATTTCAGGTTTAGGGTCCACCCAATGTGGATCTCATCTGTCACTGCCAAACTGCAAACATGCTGGGCTGTGCTGTCGAACTCCTCCTGAGCACAGGTGAATGCCATCCCATTGCTCCTCTGACAAAATATGGCTTAAAAGCACCAGTGAATGAAATTAGCTAAGTTTTAGCTGGTGGCTGCAGTTGAAACTTGAAATTTCAGCTCTGAGCCTCAGCACCCTTGAGGGCAAAGCCACATCCACGCAGCCCGCTTGCACGTCACGTTGTGTCCCCAACCTCCAGCAGTGATGTCCCGCCATTGTGATTCAGGCAAAGAGCAGCATGGATGCCACATGGGCAGCATGAGATTATTATTCCTTTAGCGGCAACATAAATTGCTGTTAGAAAAAAAAAAAGAAAAAAAAAAAAGAAAAAAAAAAAAAGAGAACCCAAACAGATCTGCTGCAGTTCCCCTTACCGCCGAGTGCCGTTTTAAAGTAAAAGATCTTCTAGGAGAAATCAGGTAAAGGAAGCAAGGGCCCAGCAGTGGATCCTGTGGAGCACTGGGAGCTGCCCACGCTGAACCTTTGCCTGCTCTGGTGGCAGCAGTTTCATGCAGCTGCTGTTGTGCCTCCTGCATGCGCTCGTGCAGAGGATTGGGGCACTCGGAGGGCTGCTGTGCCGAGAGCCAGAGCTTCCCAAACCCCCTCCCTGCATGAGCTGAGGCCAGGGAAAAAGCCTGGGAGGGCAACGCCAACACAGGAGACCCTAAAATCTTGTTAATGCTTGTTCTAGATCACAAAGAGAGAGCGTAAAACAGCCTTACCTCGTCAGGCAGTGACCCAGCCAGCTCAGTGCTGCAGGCAGGAGGAAGTGCGCCGGCTGCAGCACCGCACCAGCCTTGTTTACAGCAGCATGGCAACCTGCGTGACATCACGGCCTGCCCGAAGGTGATGCTTTGATGCATGCCTGTGGTGTGTGGCTCCGCTTTGGGGGACTCAAATTCCCAGCCCTGCAGAGCTGAGTCCTGGATGGGTGTATGCAATGTTGTCCCCTCATCTGTGCCCTCATCTTTGGGGTTTTGGCACCAGGGTGGCTTGGATCCTTGTGATGCTGCAGAATGTCCTGAGCAGAGCAGCCCTGCCACCATGCCTTCCCTCCAAGCATAGCGCTGAGCTGACCATGGACATGACCCCAAGGTTCCTGCAATCAGCTCTGCCCTCACCTCCCAACCAAGGGGCTCAGTCACAGCCCACGGCTGCTCCATCTCACCCACTCTTGTCCCTAGCAGAGCCCAGATTCCCAATAGCTTTTTATAGAGCTCTCTTGAGCCTTGCTTGACGTTTCTCTTGCTCTTAATAAGCAGACTGCTCAGACTAGAGGTACTGAAGCTGCTGCCAGCAATGTTGAGTGGTTGCACTTCTTAAAGTGTTTCCAGCAGTGGGGTGAAATCTCACCTCACCTTTACTCTGGGGGTTAAGTGGGGGCTCAGCCCTCCGGTTCTCTGATCCACTGAGTTTTAAGAGCGTGCAGAGGAACGCTGCTGTGCCCATGCCCTGATGGGGGACAGTGGGCATGAAAACTAATGGGATGGAAAACGAATGGCTCTAATTCAGGCATTTATGGCCCACAATGAACATGCCTTAGAATGCCCCGCTGTGCTTTATGGGCTGCCCTGCTTCCATGAATTGTCAAAGGAGCTTGCTAGAAGTCGGGAGATTGTCAGATGTTTATTTTAAAATCATTTACAGGGGTTTGATGAAAAGCAATATTGAGCTGTTGGCCAATACTGCTGCGTTTATCAGTGCATCCTGTTTAGCTGGTTTGTAAGCTGTTGTGGCAGCTGGAATTTATCCAGTCGCAGTTGTCTGTTCCATGTGGGCACCACTCAGTGCTGCAGCTCAGCAAAGCAGAGCCTGACTGGGGAAAGGACCTCAGGGAGCAGTGATGGACCTGAGCAACATTTGGAAAACAACCTTTGTCCCCCCCCGCAGGTGGGATATCTGCATGAGCCTCCATCTGCAGCCCTTTCATCCTCGCTCAGCTCATAGACCTGACAATTTGGAGCCAAAGCCACGCTCTTTGGGCAAAGGAGAGATGGAGTTGACCGGAGCACGTGTTGGTACATGGAAAACATTGCCCACCTCAAAAAGTGAGCTCTAACAAAAGGAAAAATTGTAGAAGTGCCCTGCATGTGTGTGAACAGCTCTACTTGCACAAGAGGCTTGGAACAGCTCAGCAATTTGCACACAAACGGTTCTGTGTTCAGTGCAGGTGACTGTACACAAAGCACAGCAACAGCACGGCAGTTCTGACAGCACCACCCACAGCACCTGCAGAACTGCTCTGCTGAAGTTCTTCAGGCTGAAGCTGACCCAGCTGCAAAGTGGGGATGGCTTTCAGCTGTCCCAAACAGAAGGATGTTTGTTGTCTGGGCTTTTGTAAGAGCTGGCTGAAATAATACAGTCAAAACCCTCTCAGGTGACCACTCCAATTCCGTGCTACTGCTCCTAAGGGAGCTCAGTGCTAAGACAGGGCAGTGGTTTGAACCTGGAGGATAGAGATCTTGCTTGCCTGTGCTGCGTTTCAGTTTCCTATGTATGTTATCATGCAGGCAGGGATCAAGGAAGAGGGTTTTTTGCTGATAAACCCAAATATACTCTAGGGATTTTGCAGACAGTTATACTGGTTACAGAGGTGCTTTCCCCGTAGATTTGTCCTCATTATATAGGTAACACTTCAGTTTGCATACCATGCTGGGAATTGCTCCTGTTGTGGTTTGGCTCACCAGAAACTTTTGCTTCCAGGATGACCTGGAGGAAAGGAGAGCTGCGCTCCTGCAAAATGCCACGGGCAATAAAGGGGGAGTTGGAACCCAGGGCAGGACACACATAATGCAGGGAGATCTGCAGCACCACTCACCTTGCTGTCCTCTGCCTCAGCAGTAAGAAGGATCCCCTGGACTCTGTGCAGCCACCAGCACTGCCTGGGGTTGGGAAGCTGTGGGGATTCAATTGTTATTGCTATAATAATATTATTCAATGTGTTATATAAAAATAATACATAAGGCTTTTAATACCTGTATATTACATATGATACGTGCAGCACATAGCAGGTAACATACATATGTTATATACCACATTATTATATTTATGCATGGATCATCCTTGCATGTTATAATCATTTATTTATAGGACTGCAAACCAGGAAGCGAAAAGCAGATGTGGATGTTGAAGGGCATGAATGCGTTATTTATTCTAAACCCCTTTCTATCAGATAACAGAAAGAGGAAAGCTGACAAGCATTTCAAAATGCACTGCTTCCAGCTCTCCCCCCTCCAGTGATGGGAATCATTCCTGCCTTGGAGGACTACAATTAAAACAGCCATAGGGGAAAGGTAACAAGTGGGTGTCCTGGGAGAAATAATTCTGGAGTACCTGGTGGTATTTTTGTGTTTTGGAGCTGTGAACCCTTGGCAGCACAGCCCAGGCTTTATGCACCCCAGCTGAATGCTTGGCCCCCAGAACTGAGTGACAGTTTTTCCCCCAGAAAAATGCTGCTGCCAATGCAGCCACAGGCAGTCATCCAATGGAGAGGTTGTTTTCTCATCTTTGCTGTTTGCTTCTAAAGTTCTCTTCTTTCAGCAGAAACTAGGAAGGAAGAAACATGTCTTACATTGTTGTTGAACTCCACAGCCTCTGAGGAGCATTTTCCATGCCACTAAAAATAGGTTTATCCATTGGCTGGGCTGAAACTTTTTTGCTGTCCTTCCCAGTTCCAAATCCCCCAACACGGTACCTCTGGCTTTTTGGATTGAATGAAAGAAAAGGAGGGAGGGACTAGGAGGGAATGCTTGCTTATTTGTCATAGCACGATGATTTTAATTGCTTTGCCTGCTTTGTCCAAGAGGATTGCAAAAGGTCTGCTTCTAAGGGTGCCTGTGTAGCTGTAAGTAACCCGTGCTCTATAGCAGCTCCAGCACTCCTGCACGTGTTTCCTTACCTGCCCACATCCTGAATGCATCCCACTGTGCCTTTGGGAGCACAGTGCTTGTTTCCAGCAGTGCTCCTGGAGGACCCAACTCAGTGTAAATGTCACACAAATGAGAGGGTTTGCAGAGCTCTGTGTGAGGATTCAGCTCTTCGTGCACTGCTGCAAGGAATGGAATCATAGAACCACCAAGGTTGGAAAAGACCCAACAAGGTCACCCAGTCCAAGATTTTTCCCACTTCCCAGTACCAGATCATCGTACCAAAGGAGCCAGGTCAGCTCTGCAGCGATCACCTGCCAGCTATGGCAACCCATACCCACCTATTATTGGCAAGCCAATTAGAAGAAGAGTGCTAATGAAAGCCACGATCCTGGCATGTAGCAGTATGCCCTCAGGATGTTGCCTTTGAGAACCTACATGAATACAGTAGCTGGCTTTCAGAAAATGAGGCTTTCAACCTGTGCTGGACCAGTGGGGCATCCCCCACAGCTTGTGCTTTTGTAAGGTTTTGTAGCTTTGAAGAGGCTGGCTCTGCTGTGGAAAGTTCATGAAACCAGTATGGGAAGATCCATGGTTCTGAGTTCAGCTATTTGCATCTTTGCATTGCTTCCTCTCTGCAAAACAGGCCAGAGGAGTTCCCACCTGTTGTGTGATGCTGCCTACAGGCACTGGAGCACACAGCATGCTTTTGGCATGCACAGAAAGGCAGAGGAGAAGGCACTGAGAAGACTGGAAGGAAAACAACGATGCGTCAGCAGCCACTGGTGCACCAATGTCCCAAATGCTGTCTGTGATGCTGTGGGCTGTGAAGTGAAAGGCAAGCATTTTCATGTGAACTGGAACACAAAAACAGTGCACTGATTCCACGGGGGG